AAGGACTATTACTAAGTTTGCTTAAGAATCAGTGGTTCATGACATTTTGTCTCGCCAGTTATTATTTCATATATTTGAGCATATGTTCCAACCACATCTTAGTGCAAACTGCAAACATCTCAGTTCTATCTTTCAAAAAAAAAAACATCTCAGTCCTTTTAGTAACGAAATCTTTATCACGCGCTTCTAAGTTCCTATGCACGGATGCATACATAGTTCTGGCTGATATAATGTTCTAAATCGGATGTTTGTTGTTACAACTTCTTTGATAGTTAGTGGACTGTTTCATGTTTTTTGTAGCTGGCCTTTTTATCTCTGAGTGTCATGAGAAAAGTCATGTTTTGCAGCACACATATCCTGCTATCGAGAGAGTAATGGAGCACCTGCATCTTGTGGTTCTTAACAAATTCAAAAGTGATCTGGAACAATCATTAAGGAACACAGAGGGATTTGCAGAATCAGTTCGTCAGTGTTCTCAAGCTTCAATGGAAGAGTTTGATGCTGGAATAAGAGGTATGTGGACAACCGCTACTGCACCTCTTTTTTCTTCTATTATTAATATATATTAATCAGTAGGGGGCTACCCCTCCTGTTTCCTAAAAAAAAAAATTAAGGGCTACAATAAGATTTTGTTGAGCTTCTGGTGGACAATACCATTAGTGCAGTCCTAGGCTCCTGGGAGTCCTTGGTCGTATCATGTGTTCTCCTGGAATGGATGATGCTTGTTATGAATAGCACTGCATACAGAAAACCCTTTGTAGCAAGCTTCGTCGTCTACTACAGAGTAGCTTTCTCAGGTATCGCAAGCTCCGGGGAAGGAACAGGAATAGGCGGACAGGGTCCCAAAGGCACATACCATGCATATGCAAGTGCATATGAAGTGCCCAACCCGGCTAGTTGTAACCATAAACAATATATGGGCAATGAGGGTCTGAACCGTGACCTATGGAAGGACCATAAGAGAACATTCCCACATAACAGCGCTGCCGTGGTCGATAGCAAGAGCACAAAGTTAGCAGCCACAGCAAGAGTGTAAAAGGCAGTGGCAACAACAGCAGTTTTTGTTTTTCTGTCTCTCTTTTTTGGTCTGCCTTATCCCTTCACCGCTACATGGTCTGTTCAGAACTGAGCAAATAAAGTGAGGAACACACATGCAGACAGCTTATATGATATTATGTATCTCTTATATTTGACAATCTACAATTCAGTGATTTCAGGTCCTAGTTCTTTTTATGCAGATACAGCAGTTAAACATGTGCAGTGGGATGCTTCAAAAGCTAGGAATAAACTGCAAGAGCATATACAAGCTCATGTAGAATCTATTAGGAACGCAAAATTGGCAGAACTGAAAGCTAACTATGAGGTTACTTTCCTTGATTTTACAACCTCTAAATGTCATGGTCAACTCAGAACATTCCATCCATATCTTTTGACCTTTTACCATTTTGCATATTGCAGAAGAAGCTGTCAGACGCAATTGCTGGGCCTGCACAATCCATACTTGAAACTGGCCAGAGAGACTCCTGGGCATGCATTAGGAGACTATATAGGCGTGAGACTGAAAATGCTGCTCTTGCATTCTCAGCTTCCCTTTCTGAGTTTGACCTAGACCAGACAATTTCCAGTAAGATGGTCTCAGACTTGAGGGAACATGCAAGAAGCGTAGTAGAAATTAAAGCTAGAGAAGAAGCTGGAAACGTTCTGATGCGCATGAAAGAAAGGTAGAATTTGCTCTTTTCTTTGTTATGTGAAGGGAAATGGAAAAGGGATAATGCAATGTCAGTTTTCATGTCCTACTACCATGAGTGTTCATATATTTTGTACCTAATATGATGGGATTATTTGTAGGTTTTTCACTGTGTTGAGCCATGATAGGGATTTGATGCCAAGGACATGGATGGGAGATAAGGATATCCGTTCAATCACTAGAGAAGCACGCTTAGGGGTATTTAGACATGACATTTTTCAGCCAATCAGTATCACAACACTTCTAGTGTGTCTGAGCTTATTTATAATGCTCATCCATGAGAAACATAATCTGGATCTCATGTTGCACTGCAGGCTTTAAGACTTATGTCTGTAATGGCAGCTATACGGTTAGATGATAAACCAGACAAAATAGAACGGGCTCTGACTACTGCTCTTTTAGATGGCGGACCCCTTTCCCACAAGAGGAGCATAGAATTTGCTTCTGATCCACTTGCTTCAAGCACGTGGGAAGAGGTTTTGCTGCAAACACTACACTTGGATATTTATGGTTTAGGATGTTCTACAGTGAAATAGTTTGGAATACTTTATGTATTTGTGCAGGTTTCACCAAAGGATACACTGATTACGCCAGTGCAGTGTAAATCCATCTGGAGGCAATTCAAAGCAGAGACAGAGTATTCTGTTGTGCAAGCAATGTCTATTCAGGTATAACTTTTTCTTAGTGTCTTCTTAATTGATCATCCTGTTTGGAGGCAGTGCTTGCATAAATATGATCCATGTTCACAGTTTTGTTGGATAATCAACTTATGGAACTGATTTTCTTGGTTTCACACAGACTTCTGAATACCAATACTAGATTTCATCCCTGGTCGTTTTCCCATATTTCAAATACTTGTTTTGTCAGGCCATTTGTATCACTTGGATTTTGTTGAATTATGTTTATGAAACTTCTATCTGAATTCATTTTGCATTTTGCTAATCAAATTCTTCCCATCTGAATTCCTCATGCCAGGAAGCACATAGGCGTAGCAAGAGCTGGTTACCACCTGCATGGACTATTCTGCTTCTGGCAATACTAGGCTACAACGAATTTATGTTTCTTCTTAGGTAATCATTTTACCAGAATTATTTGTTTGTTTGCTTTCCATTTTTGGCTAAGCCAGACTACAGGACTGCTACACTCAGATTTCACTGTCAGCATTTTTAACAGGTTCATTTATCTTTCTTTTTTTTTTTGTTACAGGAATCCATTGTACCTTCTAGGGCTCTTTGTTGCCTTTGCGTTGTCATATGCCATATGGTTGCAATATGACATCACTGCTTATTTTCGTCATGGCATGGTAAGAACATAAAATTCTTTTTATACAGAAATTAGATCCCAAAGTTATTACATATGATTCTGCTCCTTGGAATTCGACTTCTTGTTTTCTTCACCACAAGCGATGTAGTTCTTTCTTGCGTTTCTGCCTAGTGCATTTCAGGGCAACTGAATTTCTTACTAACGTAGTTTCGCACTGATCTGAAAATGAGTTTCTTCTATGTGCAGCTGTCTGCTCTTCTTACGATTTTATCAAGACTACTCCCCAGGATAATGGACATTGTGATGCAAATAATCAATATGAGCCACAAGACACAAGCATTCCCCACATCCATCTCGCCGCCCCCAACCTATCCATGCTCAGAGCTTCATGAACCAGACGTGGGGACGGGCTCAAGTGCAGTACCAGTTTCCTGACTCGCCATCCTCATCTTCCTCGTCCGTGGACTCGAATAGCGGTGATGACTCTTGAAGCTGTGCATAGGAACATAGAACTTTCCATGTGGAAGTTCCAGACTTCCAGTACTTAAATAGGTAGCCTTCTTCAGGGGTTTCTAGCTAACTAGGAAACTTTGTCGTGTCAAAGGTTTTCATTATCGGAAATAAAAATTTATCGGAGGTCATGGATAAATAGGATAAGCAAGATATATCGAAAATATTGGATCAAATTAAAAAAAAAATCAAATTGTTTTGAAAAAAATTCGTAGAATTTGACTTGAAACTATTCCTAAGCTATTAAACATCACTTGTTCACATATAAAAACAAGAATAAAACATTATAGTGTGGGACCGTTCCACAATTGAATTTGGGTTGTCTGTGTGGGAGCTGGAAAGAAGGGAAAAATTTGGCTGATGTCAAATTTTATCGGACCCTATGGATAGAATGGAAATTTCGAAAATTTCTGTGAATTTCGACCGATAAAAAAAACCCTGGTCGTGTCATCGTGTGCTTTTCACTTTGATGTGTACATGTGTATTGTAAGATGAAAAACCATAACTTTTGCCGTTCACAAAAAACACGTATGATCATCTACGGAGTTGATAGATGGTAGCAGAACACTAGTAGATTCTTGTGTAGGCCAACGAAAATCTGCATGTGTATTGTGTACTAGACAGGAGATTACGGTAGAATACATGAGAAAAAGTACTGACAGACTGACAGTTATCTGGTTGTGTGTCAATGCCTACATATATGAATCTGCAATTGTCCAGCAATCAAATTGATATGTCCTAAACATGGCCACGTGAAGATTGTTTAGGCTAGTGATAGCTCGCAAGTCAGTGCTTGCGAGCTGTCGATTTATTTCTTCAAGCAACGGTGGAGAGTGAAGAATAGGACCAAACTCTAAACTATTTGCTTGAGCTGCATATGCTGCTGGCTATATGAGAGGGACTGCAACCTTCTCAGTAAACTAGAAGGGAGAGAGGACATGTTGAAAAGAAATTACCTCGATTTATTGATGCCTTAGTGCTAATTATATGCAAATAAAGCTTGTGGTTGGAGGCTCAAATTAATGTTATCTCAGAGCACCAAAACTTGATGATTTGAAACAACTTGCTTAACCATAGAATTTCCGAAAAAGGCGCCATTTTACTTATTTATACCACATTTCACTTACACACAGCCTCTCAACTAGTACAAGCGTACTTAGAGAAACAGTGTCACCAGATAAATTAGCTTCTGCTAGGTCCCTCATCAAACAACATCACGATAACACATACACAGCTAGCTCTCTCATCGGAGAGCCGTGGCCGCCGTCCATGCATCTACCACTCTTTATTCCCACGTCTCTCTACATACGTGCAGCAAGACGTATACACACGTACGTACGTATACACGGGCGTATATACGTACGAACGAGCAGTAGTACTTGGTCGATGGGTCCCTGCAGAGAGCCACGCCCGGTGACACGTACACGTACACACCCTTTTATTATTAGCCGCGCCACGCCATGCACGTCGTCGCCGGTCGTCACACCACCTCGAGGATGCCGGCCACCGTCTCCCAGCCACGGCCGCGGCGGCAGTCGCGCACGCACTGCTGCTTCTTGTCCCAGTCGCGGTAGTGCTGGCACTGCTTCTGGCACCGGTCGCCGCGGTCGCTGTTGTCCTCGTCGGCGGCGGCGTCGCGGGCGCCACCGTCCTCCACCTGTCGTCCGCGCTCGCACCGTTCCATGCACCGCAGCTTTTTCATCCAGTCGCTGTGGTGCTGGCATCTCTTCTGGCACCGCCCGCCGGGGTACCAGTCCTCGTCGGCGGCGTCCTCCTGCCCCTGACGCTCGCAGCGTTGCACGCACCACTGCCTCGCCTGCCGGTCGCTGTAGTGCTGGCATCTCTTCTGGCACCGGTCGCTGTCCTCGTCGTCGGCGTCCTCCTGTTGCTTATGCTCGCAGCGCTGCACGCACCACCGCCTCGCCTGCTGGTCTCTGTAGTGCTGGCATCGCTTCTGGCACCGGTCGCTGTCCTCGTCGTCGGCGTCCTCCTGTTGCTTATGCTCGCAGCGTTGCACGCACCACCGCCTCGCCTGCCGGTCGCCGTAGTGCTGGCATCTCTTCTGGCACCGGTCGCTGTTGTCGTCGACGTCGGCGTCGTCACGGCTACCGCCACCGCCCTCCTGTCGCCGGCGCTCGCAGGCCTCGACGCACTGCTGCTTGCTGCCCCGGTCGTGGTGGCGCTCGCACTTCTTCTGGCACTGGCAGCGGTCGCCGCTGCCGTCCTCCTCGCGGCGCCGGCCACCGCTACCGCCCTCCTCCTCCTGCTGCCGGCTCTTGCAGTCCATCAGGCAGCGCTGCTTCTCCCACCAGTCCCCGCGGTGGCGGCGCTCGCACCTCTCCTGGCACTTGCTGCCCTCGCCGCCACGGCGGCCGCTCTCGTACTCCTCCTCCTCCTCCTCCTCGGCCTGCTCGCCGCGGCGGCGGCGGCACTGCATCATGCACTCCTGGGTCTGCCACGGCTGGCCCTCGTGGCGGCGCATGCACCGGCGCCGGCACTCGCCCCTCCCGGAGCGGGAGCCGTAGATGTCCATGCCGCCGTTGCCGTCCTCCGCCTCGTCGGCGGCGTCAGCGTCAGCTTGCTGGTGCTGCTTGCGGCACTGACTCTCGCACTCCCGCTTCCGCGGGGTGTCCTCTCCGTACTGCCACTCGCACGCCTTCTTGCACCACCGCAGGTCCTCCTTCTTGCCGTCCGGGTTGTCCACTCCGTCGTCTTCCTCCGCGCCGGCGGCCGTGGTTGCTGCGGCCAGCAGCACGCCGGCGAGCAGGAGGAACGCCCACCATGCACCCCCACTACCCTTCCCCATGTCCGTCGTCTGCGACTCAACCGGCGATCGTCGACAGATCACAAGCTGCTACTAGTACTACAGGCCGGAGTGGATTGTGCGATGGACGAAGTGAGATGGGTTGGTCGATGGCCATGGCCGAGCATGAGGCGAGGTATTTATAGAAGCGTGGGGGAAGTGGATAATCGACGCGGCGCATGCGTCGGGACGAGGAGGAGGAGGAGATCGATCGGGGACGTGGCGGCGTGCATGGCGACGTGGCGCGGCGCGCACGGCGTGGGAGTCGCGCGGCGAGACCACGTCGCGCGGTGGCTGTCCGTGTTCGGTGTGACTTGGCTGCTAGCAGCCGAGCTGCACCGTGACAGTGAGCGAGCGAGCATGCGACGACGGCCGCCGAGGTGGCGTGGCGCGCCACGTGACCACAGCTTGCAGGGGAGGAGTGCTTGGGATTTGGAGTGTTCGCTGGTTGTGCCGGGCAGGGGAGTAGGTGAAGGGTGTCGTTTCTGGGCCGGTGCACGCCATGCCAAGGAACTGATGAGCATGGCTACACGGGGAGTACAGCCGTTCCATCCTACGCACATAGGACTGAAAAACAACGAGTTTTTTTTAATCGCCTTCTTTTGAAGTTTTTTATTCATGCAAGTTTTTACTTTTAGAAAAATATAAAGTTAAGTGCAAATTATGTATAAAACTTTTAAAATAACTCTCTTTTTTTTAATGACACTAGTCAAGCGCAAACAACCTCTCGATGAGCACTTCCAAAAGACCGAGTCGGCAAACTTTTATAGCAGTTACTGTGAACAAAGGTTATGTTATACTAATATGAACGTCTTTGTACATATAATAAGTAAAGTTTTCCCTGTATCAATCCCTTTGGAAAACCACATTGTACATTGATTGCTCAAAGCGAGCACTCTCGGATTCGATTTTTCTCCGTATATGTGTGTGTATGTAAATTAGTGGGCACTATGGGTTGGAAACGAGGATTTCCAGCTGATGGGACAAGGAAGAATTATCGGAGGCCTTTTGTCTGGCTGAGTGCCCTGGGTGAAGGCGTGAAAGGTGGAAAGTGGGTTCAAGCTTGATTAGGGTTTCATAAATGTATTCAACCACCTCCCTTTGTATAGAGTTTGAGTTGCCCTTTTATAAGGCACTGCTTACTAAGGCTACTCTTTACAATTCTACCCCTTGTCGGTTACGGTATATCCTCGGAATATTCCTATTGTAATACAAACCCTAAGGGTACTTTGGGTGCCTTCTTCTTCGACCGTCTTTGCTTGATGGGCTGCTACCGTGAGTCCGTTTGCGGCCCACGGCCCGGCACCGCTGCCCTGCAGGAAGTCCCCCGGCTCCTAGAACCTTCGCCCGGGATGACCTTCGTCCGGACCTTCGCGTCGACTCCTGTAGCCTCCGTAGGTATCGCCCGAGCCTTCGCCTTTGGCTGCATCCGGGCGCGTTCGCCGCAGTTTCCGGACCTTCACTCAGGGCGTCCGAGCCTTCGCCTTCGGCTGCATCCGGGCGCCTTTGCCGTAGTTTTCGGACCTTCGCTCAGGGCGTCTGACCAGGTGGAGGTTCCGTCCTTCTTTCCCTGCACAATGCTCACATAACATGGTTAATCGTTAGTTCTTAGCGCCACTGCGATCCTCGGAGCCTCCGCGACTCGTAACTGTGTCCCAACAGTTCCTCCCTAGAGGGCATGGTTTGATGCTAGCGGGCCTTGTCCTCAAAATCTGGCCCTTAGGTTCTAAGGGGCAGAGGCTCTTGCGCATGCGGAGGCGTCCCTTTTCCCCCCTAGATCGCCTAGATTAGGTCGTTGCGTTGGTGACGTGTTACTACCTAATTCGCTGTGGCAGCTCTGGAACCGACGCGTTTTTGAATGGATGCGACCATTAGCCCCAGAAGTTGAAACCGCAAGGCGGTGGCTATATAAGGGGGCGGTAGGTGAAGGCTTCCCCATCTCCATCTGAGCCATTGCTTTCGCTATAGTTGCTTTCGGAGTTCTTTCTTCTTTGCTTAACCTTCGCTTAGTTGTCGCTTTGCCTACGCTTCCTATTGCTGTTGCTAAATCCTGGAAGTGGCTTCGCCTGTTAGTCCTCCTCCTCGCCGGGCTACTTTCTTCGATCCATATCGCCGTCTTCTCGGCGTTAGAACGAGTGGGTGGTTTGCGCGCTTTGAGGAGTGTATGATTGTCAGCGCGGAGGAATTGGAGCTTGAGGAGGATCTTTTTGGAGTTGAGGCCTCCGTCGCTGATTTGATAACCGTTGAGGAGGCAGGAGACATGGCCGGCTCATCCAGGACGTGGGATTTTAGGCCTTCGCTCATAACGAAGGACATGATCGAGGAGTTGCGGAAATTGGGCTGCTTTGGTGAGGCTAAGGTGAAGCCTCTGCAGGGGGAGACAATTCCTAAACCACATGCCGCTGATGCCGTTGCCTTCAGGGACTTTTTCCTTTGCGGCCTTCGCTTCCCTACAGCACGCTTCCTTCGCCAAGTCCTAGAAGCGTTCGAGATACAGCTGCATCACCTTACTCCCAACTGTATTGTTACCTTGAGTAAGTTCTGCTGGGCCTGCTTGTCTTATGGTGCGGAGCCCAACGTTGGTACTTTCTGCAAGTATTACGAGCTCTAGCGCCAGCCTAAACGGGTTGGCGAAGGCCAGTTGGTAGCTTAGTATGGGAGGTGCGCCTTCATGCACAAAAGGAATCAGAAAGGGGAGAAGTTGGAAATTTCTTTTGCTTAGAAGAACAAGCGGAACAAAGATTGGATGCAGTATTGGTTCTATGTTAGGACCGGTGGCATGACCTCTACGGATAGCGAAGGGAAAAACACACCCATTATCCGTTGGCATCCGTGATGACCCCGATGAAACCTTCGACTCAAGGAACTCCGGGCCCGAGGACTTCTGAGGGGCACGAAGCGTGCGATAAGGCTTTTGCCTTATCTTGTCGGTACTCCGGAGGTCGGGATTTGGTGGAGGAGATGGTAGCATCTAACTGCTGGCCACTTGGACGGAATAGACCCACCATGACTATTGAGATGGCCAACCCTCCTATCTTTGGCGAAGGAGTCAGGGTTCCCTTTCCCAGGTTTGGTTTTTAGCCTAAGGTGGGTAGGTCTACTGAAAGAGTAGTGAAGTCTATGGTGGCTAGGGCTTGAGAAATACTCGGCGAGATTTCTGATAAGGAGTACCTGGCGTGCAGGGCCATCGCCGGTACGATGCCCGGTCTCAATCATATCTTCGAAGAGCTCAGGATCCATCATGAGGAGCATGATGTCCCTACGAAGGTGCATAAGTCACTGGAGGATAAAGCTAAGAAGGCTGCCGCCAAGAACACGGCTGCTGCGGCTAAGGTGAAGAAGAGAAAGGGGACTGGCGTGTCAAAGGTTGTCAGTAAGAAACAAAAGACCATGACCGCTTCTGCTATCGCCTCTGCTACCGCCTTCGCTGCTACCTCTGCTAATGCTGATGAGGAGGTCGCGGAGAGCATTGGCGGAGGCTCAGCCTCCTTGGGCGCCGAGACGAAGGGTGAGCGCTCTGCCGCCTCTGTTGATCTTGGCGGCGACAACCTTGTTGAGACTGCTCTCCAAGGATTGGGTGGCAGCCCTACTACTAAACCCTCTGTCGTGGCACCTATTCCCGACGTTTTGGGTGACAACTCTTCCGGCTCCAAGGGCCAAGGTGCTGGTGGTGGCGGTGCTTCTCCGCCGAGAGAAGGGGAGACCGTTAGCGTTGACCGTCGCCGTCCTTCGGCTGCTCTTGTGGAAGTGTTCAAGGACGACACGGAGGCGAGTTCTTCGGCTGCTCCATTCCAGAGGATGGTGTTTCGGGCCACAAGTCATCATGCCTCGGATGCTGGTGCCTCAGATGCTGTTCCGAGCCCTTTGCATCTGGGTGAGTTGCCATTTAAATTTATTTTTCCTTGCTGTTTGTATTTTTAGTTTTATCGGGACTTGACTTATTTTGATTGTTTTAGCGGGTTTGACAGAGGCTATCGGGAACCCTACTGAGCTTGCCGACCAGGATCATGCTCGGCTTGGTTTGGGAGCTCCCCCGAGGCCGCTGCTTACGGGCATGAATCCTGGTCCGTCTAGCCTGGGCCAGGCTAGTGGCGAAGGTTACATTCGCTTCTTGTTTTTGTTTCTACGTTATCTCCGTTTTATTCGGGTTTTGTTGATGTTTAGTCACTGTTTCAGGTGCCTCCGACAGTACAATAAGTGGGTGGGTAGATGTCCTTCAAGCTGTTTATAATGATATCGGAGGTTGTTATTTCTATTTTTTGTTTTCTTACTTTTGGTCTTACGTCTCTTACGCTTGATTTTCTATTAGGCCACCTTCGCCACCACTTGAAGAATGTTGATTACTTCAAGCTGCTGCAGATGAATTTGGAGCAGCAGTGCGTGGTATGTTTCTTGTTTGCTTTTCCTACCGTTGTTCTGCTATGCCATGGCTGACCTTGTCTTGATAGAGCCATTATCTTTCGGAGGCCATCGAGGAACGTGGCATGCAGGAGGTGGTCGACCGCAATCTGGCTATCGAGGCCCTAAAGAAAGAGGTGGACACTCTTGAGGCCAAGAAGACCCAACTTGTAGGGGAGGTTGGTGGCCTCCACACTGTCCAAGCTGAATTGGAGGAGCTATAGAAAAATGTTGATTCGCTGAAGAAGGAGGTGGATGGCGTGAAGGCTGCCGAGCAATTGGCTGCTGAATGTGCCCTAAAAGCTATCGAGATGGCCGCTAACCTTCACAAGGAGGTGGACACCGAGAGGGAGTCCAGTGCTACCTTGAAGGCGCAGGTGGATGTGCTGTCTAAGTGCCTCGAGGACGCCAAGGCTATTGGATTGGCCGCGACTGAGCTCTATGTGGGTGCCCTCGAACAATTCGGGGGCTCTACGTCATCGCTGCCTTCTGAGCCTTTGGCGTTCAATATCTTTTCCTAGATGAAGGCCAACTTCCGAAAGCTTCCTGACTTTGTTGGTGGCGCTGTCGATTTTGGAGCCCTAGCCTCCGCCACCAACCTTTCC